TTTTTTGATAAGTTCTGATATGAAAAAATTGAATAATGATTGCAATAATTAAAGAAATGGCATTGCTACGGAATGTACAATCGGATGTTTATACTTGAACGACGTCTATATTATAGAGGTTCTCTTAATAGCCAAGGTTAATAGAATTCATTAAAAAATGATCTCTCTCCCTTTCCCCCCCTCCCCTCTCTCTCTCTCTCTCACGATCTATTTATCGCGTCTTCAATGCTTGCATCAGCATCCTTGTGCGCTTACCTACGAGCGGCGTTTCTCTCTTCCTGATCATGACGAGGCGAAGTATATTTAGACGGACCTCGTCCTTCATATCGGTTTGTCAAACTAATTCATACAAATTTCGGTCTGCCGGAAGAAATTACGATCGGTGGTGACCTAGACCTTTCGATGTTGAATGCGTACGCCACCCGCAATTTGCATCTCATTAATGTTTATTTTATTTTGCGCGCGCGCGTCGTCTCGTCTCATCAATGACATGCGACTTGTTTACGCGGTAAATAGGTTCCCAGAAGTAATACTCGCGTGGTTTCTGGGATTCCCTTTTCTCATATTGCGCGGCATAGAAAAAGATAGGTAAATAAAGAGATGTTGATGTGTATCTCGTGGTGTACAACGAACAGCGGACAAGTTTCCTAATCGCAATTCACGATAAAACTATATTAACAAGCAATCATGAGTCGTTAATTCATTAAATGTCATTTTTTTCTTTGAAGATGCGGGTCTCATCGAAAAACTTTATGGTGATTATAAATTTCTAGAACATCTTGCATATATTTTTGCCGCTCTTTTATTTTATACTTTAATATAATATATCTACAATTTGTAGATTATATAGGTTTCTTTATCAATTTTCTTCGCAAAATAATAATGGTATTACATAGAAACGTTATTTTATTAATTTCATAGCGCGATATTCAATATAAAGTAAAATGATATTTGTATAATATACTTTATTATAAATCATGAAACACACAAAATATAATACGCATTAGTCATTTATGTAATGATGATTGCAATATTATTAACATATTAAACATGAGTTCCGATTAACTTTACAAAATTTGTCACGGTATACGAAGAACGAAGCTATTTTACAAAACAATCATTGCCTCATTTCAATTGGTTCTCTAATGATAATTTATATAATTTCATAGATACTGTGTATTGGTTACATTTTGCATGTATATTATAGCTCTCAAGGTGTGCGCGATATATAATTCATTCAAAATATTAAATTTGATCTACTGAGATATTCAGTATTCTTAACGCAGAGGATATCATTATCAATCATTTCAGCACCTTGCAGACATGTAGAGAGTGACTTATCTTACGAGGGTGTATTATCTTACGTCTTACAACTTACATCTTTTTCCGCTAAAGACATCCGAAGTATGAAAAGCGTAGCTGCAAGTGCGGTCCTCTCAAAACTCTGCACCGACGAGGAAGGATCGTCGGGAAGTAACCACGTGGTTATTCTCGCAACAATATCAAAACCGCGCGGCTGTTATCACCGGTATCGAGAGCCCCGATGGTTCTCTCACCGTTTTTCTCGATATCACGCGCGCACACCAACACAGGAGAGGAGGTTTTCACCTCCTCTAATCACTAGGCGTTTTAATCGGAGATGCGTCTCCGCCGCCTGGTCCGTTTTCTCAAACACTTGCACGCGCACTGGTTGTTCCTCATTTGTCCGACACTTCCGGTACCATGTGCCACCCTCACCGCTGCAGTCGGTTTTACGAATCGTTGGAAACACTTTTCGATCACCGCGAATTATATGAAAACCGCGCGGCTGTTATCACCGGTATCGAGAGCCCCGATGGTTTTCTCACCGTTTTTCTCGATATCACGCGCGCACACCAACACAGGTTTTCACCTCCTCTAATCACTAGGCGTTTTAATCGGAGATGCGTCTCCGCCGCCTGGTCCGTTTTCTCAAACACTTGCACGCGCACTTGTTGTTCCTCATTTGTCCGACACTTCCGGTACCATGTGCCACCCTCACCGCCGCAGTCGGTTTTACGAATCGTTGGAAACACTTTTCGATCACCGCGAATTCTTATTAAGACACCGAATGTTTCGTTCGACTAATATTATATATTATAATTGAAGCGAACACATGAATATAATATCGAAGCTTAAACGATAATTGCGTTGGACGTGTAGGCTCTGTGTTATACGTGAGATCTATAAATGATCTATAAATAATTAATTTTTTTTTTTGCAGACGGATCTCATCCAGACGGAAAGACAGTGGAACGAACGGTGCTCGCGTTATCGGTAAGTGTGTTATCTTTTGTCCCAGTAGCAACGAACAATAGTTCGTTTATCATGCTTCTCCTCTCTTTTCTCCGTTTTTCGGTTCCTCCGCATCACTTCGCGACTCAAAAATAATCATCGATCGCGATTTCGATGACCGTTCACCGTATCGATTATTCTTCGATGCTTTTCCACGGTATCACTTTTACTCTCGATTGCATTAATTTTTTTTTGTACACTCACTATTTTTTCTTGCCTTTAATATCAAACAGCGTCTCACTCGGAATCACATAATTTTCTCAATAACATTGAAAAAATCATTGTCATAAAATCTCGAAATAAAACGCGAGTATCTTTCCGATCGATCAACGAAGAGCTATCGTTCACATCCTTCTCTGATAAATCAATAACTAATCTATTCGTGTAGATAACACTTAATTCATTGCATTAATGTTATTCCGATTACCACGTGACGCGTCTGTACATAATAATGGATGTTACATAATCACTTGCTCCATGATCGTCACCACTCGCCTAAGATCAGGTAACGATTTTTTAGTTTGGTGTTTGTGTGAATCATTCAAAACTCTTCTGATTACAAATACAAATCTTCAAGAATTATTCACATTTAAGATAACAAAATATCTCAAACTAATTTCTCCGATCACTTCGTTGGGACGATGAAACTTCCAATTGACACATCGATCGTGGTATATTGACAGATCTCGCCAGTTTCTCCTTTTTTTCACGAGATTTCATGCAAATGCACGTGTTTGTACGCGCGCGAATTTTCCTCCACGTGCGTGTGTGTGCGTGAATCAAAATGGCAGTCAGTCGAACGACGGTTAGATAATATCCTTTTTTTCTCTTTTATTTCGCTTAATAGAAAGTCTCGCGGTCACCGAACTATCGGGGCTCGTCTCACTGGTAGAGAGATTCCAAAATCGAACATCAAAGGAAAATAATCAAAATCGCCACTTATCGTAACTTATTTTCGCAAGAATTTTAACCGCGAATTTTGAGATTTCGCAAAATAGTCTTTTTCTCTCTCTTTCTTTTTTATAAGTGCGAATCCGGCCGCGATTTAAGTCAGTTCTGTTTAATCTTTCTTTTAAAAATGGCAGTGTCTCGTTAAATTAAAGCGGGCAGTGTTTTGTGTCGCTCGGCTTCACCGTCGAGGTCTTTCTTCCGATTTCTTCTTTCGTTAATTTCGCGCGTTGTTTTGGGAACGCGCATGCCCGACCCGGAAAGGATCCGCGTATGACTTTGGCCGTGGTCGTCGAGCTTGGAGGAAGAAATCCACGGCGGCGGGCAAGGCAAAAGAGCTTTTGATCGACGTGCTCCTGTTCGCTTTTATAATTGGCAGTGTTTTCGTTTCGAGATCAGAGTAGCGGTGGGTCGTTTCACGTTTGACACGCTGCCGCGCGTCTGGACGTCATCATCGGACGTCGGTTTAACGATGTGCGAAGGAATTAGTCCGCGCACCGTGATAGTTAGATCTGCGATATTCTAAATGCACATGGCGTAGCGTTCTAAGCGGCGAGGTTTACGTAAATGGTAGCGAAAGAGAAAGAGAGAAGAAGAGATACACAGTAGACGGAGAAACAAAACCGCGGCGCTGAATTTTCTCGCTCGATGGCACTTCCGGTTCGAGTACTTTCTCTCTCCTCAGCGAGTGTTTTTCTGCTACGACTTGGCAGTCGTATGGATCGATCGATTCTCTCAATCTATCGAAGATCTCAAATTAAAAGTTGAAAATCTGAGGATGGCATCGAGGACGGCGCATCGGTGACTTCCTCTTCGCCGATCGGCTATCGATGACTTCGCTTCGCTCGTCGTCGATCGCGTAATCGATCTTCGCGTATGGACCAGCGGATTACGTCGCGTTCTCGCGCGGGATCTTATACAAATTTAATGATCGGCCTCGTTAAAATGCCACGGGACGACGGTCGCGTGTCGGGGGCAACGTCCGCAGCCGATAATTCTGGAATTGTCCGAGCGCGGTTCGATTTCTCGCGCTACCACCACCTATCTTCACCTCCGACAGAGTTTGACGTTTCTCTTTGCCTCCTCGCCTCGCCGACCTTCTGAATTGACGCGCGACACCACTCCGTGACCTCCGTGGAAAAAGTAGAGCGAGGGATTTGGCCGGGTCGTGTGCGAACGTCACAAACTCGGGTGGCGCGCCGAAACCGAGTGGCAGGTTGCCGTAGGTCACACACATACACACGTACGTACACAGACACATACACGAACGGTGGCTTGCTTCCTGTCGCGAGAAACCGGCCTGCTTCCGGTTCCTCTCTCTTTCTCTCTCTCTCTCTCTCCCTTTTCCTCTCGATGCACGCACACGTGGGGATCGAGCGCGCGCAATCTGTGGAGGGGGAAGGGGGAACAAGGGGTCCACGGATCGAAATTCTGCACGATCGATGCCGATTACTGTTGTCGCCTTATCCGCACCACCGGGTTCACCACTGAAATTTATTTCGCGGGATCGGCGGGGTACGCGATTCCTCGGCTCCTACGGTACGATTCGACGATCGTGCGCGTCTTCTTCGTCCTCTTCGCCGTGGGGCCGCGTGCGTGCGTCGCCGCGGGGATGATGCGTCGTCCGTACACGTGTGCGTGTGTACGCGCGTGTACGCGCGCGGGCATGTAACGTGTGTCACCGCCGTCGTGTCGAGAGGAGGTGTAAAACCGCCGAGTGTTGTGTCGAGCTGAGTTGGCTTCGACAAAGTAGGGCGACGACTGGGACAGCGGCCACGGGCACCGGCGCTGCCTCGCTCTCGCGCTCACCGACGACGAGCGAGAACCCGCGGCGCGCCGTGCAGTGGAGGAGTCGTGGAAGTGGAAGAGAGAACCCTCCTCGCGCGCGTAAAACGGCAGCAACCGCCGCGCTCTGCGCTCCACGTTCTCCAGTAGGGGAACTTCTGACGCCGCGTCGCGTTGCGCCGCTGCTGCAACAAGCCATGCCGCCATCCACATCGCGAGCCGAAATCCACGCTCCCATCGCGATTCTTTATCGCGCTATTCCCTCTATGCGCGCGAGTAGCGCATTTGCATGAAAAATAATCATGACACAAAAGTCAAGTATCCAGGGTGTCATTTAGCATCCTTCGCGAGCATTTCATTCTAAGACCGCATGACAAATGATACGATAAAATGATAATAGAATATACTAGGCGATTTCTCTACGATATCTCTTAATTCAATATTTTATGTAATGTTCAGTTTCTGAGAATAGGAGAAAAAATTATAACGCCTTATTTTGAACGAATTAAAATGTTTTAGTTAAATTAATAATGAATTATCTTTGAATAATCATTTACTATTAAATTCGTTCTACAAATCTCGGATTTATAAATCAATTTTGATTTAGCGATATTTGGTTACGTATGGTGGAGTTTAAGAAGATTTTTTTCTCTGAAGAAATTTATCGATATCTGCAATTTGAACTCTAGTTCATAAAATATTGTGTTTCTATGTCGCGACCTTCTCCCTTCGGTAATGCGGATGATGCTCCATTTTCGCGGTCAGCTGGTCGACGTTCGCTCGATTATCGAACCGATAAGGCTTTATTTAACTGTGAAAAAATCTCATGAGCTTTGAATGTTTTTTCTCGCATAAATCAATCGTGACACAGATATTTTGTTAACTAAATTTAACATTGATATATTCTCTTGTTTATTTAATAATATCTTGTTTATTTATTTACTTAATAATGATCGTAACAGTTATTTCAATACGATATTTTTTTATAATTTTATATTATTTTTATATCTGTATTATAATTCATATATTTACATACTTTCTCGATAAATGTTGGCAAATTGTTTTTAAATAGGTTTTAAAATAATAATATGAGATATCTTTATGTTCACGGATAATCTGAAAAATGGTTACGCGGTTGACATCGTTACTGCAATCAGGGAACATCATTTTATTCACCGTATTTCTCTCTCGATATGCTAACAATTTATGATGCTAATATTTCATCTGATATTTCGATGGCAACAGCAATTACGCGCATGAATATGCATCATCTCCTTATCACATTTATCGTCAATAAAACTTTGCATATTGCCTTTGTTTTTGTATCTTTATAAGTATCTCTAGAGAACATGCGGTTGGTATATATCAT